CTTTGATCCATCTGGAGTTAGTTTTTGTGTATGGTGTGAGGTACAGATCTTGTTTCATTTTTCTGCAAATGGATATCCAGTTTTGCCAGCACTATTTGTTAAATAAATATTCTCTTCCCCATTTAATAGATTATTTAGGCCCTTTGTCAAAGATCATAGGTTGATGGATCTATTTCTGGGTTCTCAGTTCTATTCCATTGGTCTATGTGTCTGTCATTGTACTGATACCAGGCAGTTTTGACTACTGTGACTGTGTAGTAGTAGGTTTGGAGATCCAGCAGTGTGAGACCTCCTACTTTGTTCTTCTTCAATAGTGCTTTGCTTATCCAAGGTCTCTTTCCTTAATATGAAAACACTTTAAAAAAATTACTGTGATTTGGATGAAAGTTAACAGAGCAAATTCATTTTCCCTACAGCAGTTCATACACATTTAGTATGAAAATACCCTTTAAAATGTCTAGGACTAGTGAACCATGGGATGGGAGGATGTTAGGGAATTTTGTTTTTCTCTTTGAAAAGGGGTCTGTAATCAACACTCTCCCTAAACGACCAGTGGATCAAAGAAAGAACCACAGAGGACATTAGAGTGTAGTCCAAGATGGATGAACAGAAATACACACATATGAAAATATATGGGTGCAGCTAAAGCAGTGCTCCAAGGAAAATGTATAGTTGTAACAGTGCCCAGCTGAGAAAGAATATCTCAAATCACTAACTGCCAAAGGGCTTGGAGGAAGCACCCTTTGACCGCCTCTAGCTTCATGAGATGTAGACAGAATCACTATTAGCAGCACAGGCCTGATTCCTGTGGGGCTGGGAACGTCAGACATTGCACCACCCCCAAGCTTTTTGTCAATTCGGATAGCAGCCATCCCTCCGGCGGCATGTCTCCTTTTCTGTGGGTTCAGTAATTCACTGCAGTGGTCACATAGAACTCGCAGACAATGCTCAGGACCGTGGGGTTTATTAAGGAAGTAGCAGGTTGAGGAACACTCAGGATCCAGTTCTTTGATCAGGACAGTCTCCCCTCAGGCATGCCTTTCTTTGGCCCTTGACCTGTGCTCTGCTTGGGCAAGGCTCGCAAAGCTCTTTTGGCTCTGCTGATAGTACACTCAGCTTTCTCACTCTGTGGCTGGCAAACCCGCTGCTGTCTCATGCCTCTTGGAACCACTGCGACTGTCTCTCTGCTGGAGCGTCTCTCTCTGTCGAGGCGTCTCTGCCAAGGAGGTCTAGTGCAGGGATCTCGGGTCCAAGGACACACTCTACTTCACCTCCAGTCTTCTCTCCTGATGCCAGAGACTGCCCCTCTGCCTCTAGGAGGGCTCATTTTAAGCCTGGCAGAGTGACAGAACTAACCAATCCAATATCAGAATGCCGCACACCTTATTTGCATGGTCCCCCCCAGGAATCTGGTGGGAGTTATGAAGCCCATGGGCAGGAGAGCCACACTGTGTCATTCACGGCGTGTGCCTGCCGGAGGCACTCGGCTTTCTCGCCCCGCGGGCCAGGTGGCCTGCTGCTGTCTCCTGCTGGTTGCCACTGTGCTGCCTCTCTGCCCCGTGTCTCTGCCGCCGCAGGGTAGGACCTCGGGGCCAAGGAGGTGCTTCTCTCCTGGCTGCTCTGTCTTCGTGGTGGCGAGACCCGTTCTGCCTCTGGGAGGCCTCATCTTAAGGGAGCAGAATGACACAGCTGACCTGTCCCCACATTGGGGTTCTGTGCACCTTGCTTCCATGGCCCCATCCCCAGAAGGGGGCCCCAGGCCTGCTTACATTACTCACAAGCTCTCCCATCCCCTTGGTGGCCCCCAGGCACCTCACGTTCACATGGTTCTACCCAGTCGTCTGCTGAGAGTCGAAAGACTGCGGCCAGAAGAGCCACGCCAGGTCATTTGCAGCCCCGCCATCCTCACTGCCTTAACCAAAAACCCAACCCAGCCCGCTGCCATCGAGTGGGTTCCGACTCATAACCGCCCCACTGGGTTTCTGAGGCGGTAAATCTTTACGGAAGTAGATTTCCCAGTCTTCCTTCCAAGAACTGGCTGATGGTTTGAACCACAGCCTTCTGGTTAGCAGTCAAATGCCTTAGGCGCTAGGCCACCAGAGCTCCTTCCTTCCAACCTTAGGAAACTAGAAAAAGAATATCAAACTCCAGCTGAGCAGTGCAGAGAAAGCATGAAGGTAGGCGTGGGAACAGGACAAGACGAGACTTGAAAAGGGAAAGCAGATCAGAGAAACCAAAACTGGGTTCTTTAAAACGATTAAAACAAACTTGCCCAGCCACGAGGTCAGCTGACACGGAAAGTGGTCAACTTTGAGCAGCCATGAAGTGTGGATACTTGTATCTGCAAAATGAAAAAAAAACGATTGACAAGGTGGCGCCCCACCCCAGATAGAGCTTTCCTGGAGATCCTCCGTGCAGCTGTGGCCCCAACCTGACTGGTGACCCTTCATGGCAGCAGTGCAGCAGGGAGGCCCTGCCCCTGTCTCCCCAGGGCTCCTTCAAGGAGTTGGTGTATGTGTTCTTCATGGTGAAGGACGCCGGCCTCGCCCCCGACCTCCTGTCCTACGCGGCTGCCCTCCAGTGCATGGGACGGGGGGACCAGGATACCAGCACCATCAGAAGGTCTGTGCATGGCAGGGCAGTCGCTTGTCTCCCGCCCCGGAGGGAGGACCTCTGTGGCTGACATGGGGGCCGGGCGTCCTGGGCTGAGGCTGGGCTGCCATTGCTGTGTGCAGCCCCCAGCCTGGAGTCCTCTGATGCGGAGCCCCAACTTCCTGTGAAATGGGGCTGATGAGTGAGCTCAGAGGGTGGACGGTTCTGGGAGGAGGGGCGGCCCTGGGAGGGTGTCACAGGCTACGATGGGTGGGCTCAGATAGCGGCCAGGAGGGGTGGGTCTGCCGCTCACCTGTGCTGCCCCCCAGGTGCCTGGAGCAGATGGCCCGTGACCGGCTGCCGCTGCAGAAGCTCTTTTTAGCTGTCCCCATGTCTGAGGAGGAATGGGCTGCAGTCCTGACGGCCGTGCGAAAAGTGAAGCCTGCCTTCAGCCCACCGCCGCGGCCCGCACCCCGGGTGAACACATCACCGTTGCTCAAGGACGTCTACGCCCAGGTGAGCTGTGCACAGACCCTGGCCCCTGTTCTGAGCTCGTCCTGTGAGTGCTGTCCTGGCCCGGGGTCTCCGCCTGCTTGGAGTCTGGGCCCTGCCCTCCACTCGCTCGGCTGTTAAATAACTCCTGGATTCTCCTTCCTGTCCCGTGGTTTGGGGACGTGCCTGCCCCCAGCAGCCGTGCAAAAGTGCCCTGGCTGCTGGTCCAGTGGGAGGTGCCAGAAGGCTGGAAAAGGGAGATGAATGAGAGTCCCAGCACTTTCTTCAAGGGCAGGGGGGCCACGTCCCAGGGCAGGGGTGGGTGGCACGGGTGCCGGGGGCTTGGACTTGACTGACCTGTAACTCATGCAGTACACCCGTCACTCATTTAAAGTCAACAGCTCGGTGGTTTTCAGTGTATTGGCAGGGCTGTACAATCGTCCCCTCTGTCTAGTTCCAGAATATTCCGTGACCCCAAGGGGAACCCCGCGTCTTTAGCAGTCACTCGCCATTAGGCCCACTAGCCCCTGACAGACAGCAGCCTGCTGCCTGTCTGCAGGCCTCTGTTCGGGACGCCTCCTCCCGGTGGGAGTCTGTCTGTCCTGTGGCGGCTTCTCTCACCAGGCAGCAGGCTTCCCCTGGTCATGGTGTGTATCAGCCTCACGCCTTTCTGTGGTGGGGTAACCCTGTTGTGTGGGCGACCCCATTGCATCTGTGCATCATCACTGATGGCCACATCACTTGTCTGCTTCCTGGCTCCTGTGAACAAGGCTGCCCTGGACACAGCCTGCGCCGGTTCCTTTGTGCACTGTTAGGGTGGTGTTTTAGCTTCTATTTTCAGCTTGTTTATTTTTGGATGGTCACATGCTCACCTGCTTCCAAGTTTTAAAAGGAAGCAAACATCTGGGGACACCGTGGATGGCGCCCTGTGTTCATGGCCCCCAGTGTGTGCCCTGCCACGCCTGGTGCCCCTGCCCAAGGCACTAAGGCGAGCAGGGCCAGGCTTTGCACTCGGCCCCAGACCTGCCTTTGCTTGTAACTGCAGTTTTGACGATGCCCAGAGGACTGGCAGAAAGGGCTGTGATTCTGTCAGGGAAGGGGCATCCGGTGGCATGGGGACTGCTCTCCTGAGACCTTGCCTGGTCAGTTGCTGACGCGACCAGGGGGTGGGGCCCGATGCTCACGCAGCTGCCCCCGCCCCCCAGGACAGCCCTGTGGCCTATCCCAAGCTGCACCTGCCGCTGCAGACGCTGGCGCGCCTCTTCCAGCAGCAGCTGGATGTGGAACTGGCCACCACCGTCCAGGTGGAGTCTGTGGAGAAGGCCCCACCGCTGACTGCCGAGGTCCTGCATGCGGTGAGGAGTCCACTGGCTGGCTGGGCCCTTCTCTGGGCTGGACAGGTGGTCCACAGGGTGGGCCTCCAGTGTGGCTCATGGGGTGGGGTGGGGTGGAGGGCCTGCATCTCTCCCCGTCTCATACCAAGGCCTGGACCCGCTCGATGACATCAGGTGGGGTGAGGGGATCACCTGGGAGCTGCCTGGGAAATCTTCCAGAACGTTGCCAAGGGTGCCCACAGAGGTTGCCCCCTTGGGGATGGTGCTACGTTCATCCACAGGGAAACCACAAGACGGTTGGACGCCCACTGGGGCTGGTGGGGTGGCGGGTGTGTGCCCAGACTCCGGGTCTGAGTTGCAGGGTATCCCTGGGGACTTGTGGGCTTGGTGGTGACCCAGGCGTGCTCCATCCCGCAGCGGGAGACTCTGAGGAGCCTGCGGGCCCAGTGGGAGAAGGCGCTATGCCAGGAGTTAAGGGAGGTCAAGGCCAGCCTGGCGCGTGTAGCCCGCGAAGGGCGCCCCACACTCTACCCCCACCTGTGCCTGCTGGGCGAGCGGGAGACTGCGCAGATGCTGCTGCAGGTAGGCGGGCCGTGCCCTGGGGGGTGGGGCCGAGCCAGTGCCCTCCCATGTCCCTGCCTGAGGCCTCAGCAACTGAGTACAAAAGCGGGGAGAGTTCTCATTTACAAAAAAAAAAAGATTCTTGCCCAGGTTGCCACCCGGAGCCAGCCTCGGCAGCACCCAACATGCTGTCCCCTGCCGCCTGTCGGCCCACCTCAGGCCCGCAGCCTTGTGGTGCTGCCGGGGCGTGCCTCGCCTGGGGGTGGGCTCCGCGGGGAGGGCCTTCGAGGTGACCTCGCCCCGCCCCCCAGCTTCTGCAGGTGCTGCCCCCTCAGGGCCAGTCGCTCATCCAGCTGGCCCACGAGCTGGGCATGCGCACCTTCAACCGGCACGTTGTGCAGCGGAAGCAGCGGGAGCGCCAGGTTCAGGCGCTGCAGCAGCGCTACTTGGAGTACCTGCGCCTGCTGGCCTGTGACACGCAGGTGGGGGGCCGCCCGGGTGGGGGGCCAGGAGCTGGAGACCTGGGCGGCCAGCGCTGCGCCTCGCTGGCTTCCCGCGAGGTCGCCTCCCTACTCCCTTGGCAGCCCTGGGGGCACGAGCTGGGGAGGGCCCTGGGGTTGCATTGCCCTCTGCGGGAACACGTCCCATCGCCGTCACTCAGGTGGCGCTCGCTTATGAAAGGGGGCTGGTGGACGGTGGGGTTGGGGACGAGGCTGTAGCATTGCCAGCCCAGGTCTCCGGCCGCTCTGACCTGCTCTCCCACCCGCAGGTGGACCCGCCCTGCCTGCCGCGACAGCACTGGGAGGCACTGGGGGGTCCTTGCGGCGAGCCGCCACCGGAACAGCCTTGGCCGCTGCCGGTACTCGTGCAGGTGGGCAAGCAGCTGGCGGAGGTGCTGGTGCGGGCCGTGCACATGCCGCGCAACCCGGGTGTCCCCGCCGGTGCCGAGCAGCTCATCCCGGTGCTGTACCACGTGTACTCCTTCCGCAGCTTTCGGCAGGTGGGGTGGAGGGAGCGGGGCAGGGCGGGGTGGAAGGGACGGGAAGCCCCTCCCTCGGCCCGGGAGGGCGGGTGACGGAGTGGTAAGAAGTCACAGTAGACCTAGCAGGGTGCTCCCTCCCCATGCCACTGATATCATTGCTCCAAACTCCTGCACCCTGACCCTGACGCCTACCCCCGATGCTCCCCTAGATCGGCATCGTCAAGCCACACCCAGCCTTCTCGAAGCTGCTAACCACGGCAGCTGAGCCCACACTGACCTTCGAGGCAACCGAGGTGCCCATGCTGTGCCCGCCGCTGCCCTGGACCTCACCACACTCGGGTGCCTTCCTGCTGAGCCCTGCCAAGCTGATGAGGGCTGTGGAGGGCACCACACAGCACCAACGTGGGCTCGAGCGCTGCCCGCCTGTTGCGCTGCATGGTGCCCTTGATGCCCTTACACAGCTGGGCAACTGCGCCTGGCGCGTCAACGGGCGCATACTAGACCAGGTGTTAGCGCTCTTCCATGCCCGGGGCTGCTCCCGCCTGGGCGTGCCTCCCCCGGCCTCCGAGGCACCACGCCCACCCGCCCACCGCCCACCGCCAGGCACCCCGCCTGCACGCCTGGCTGAGCTGCGGCGGGAGGCGGCGCGCTGCCTGAAGGCTGCCCGAGAGCTGCGCAGCCTGCGCGCAGACGCACTCTACCGCCTCTCGCTGGCCCAGCACCTGCGCCACCACAGCGCCTTTTGGCTCCCCCACAACATGGATTTTCGAGGCCGCACCTACCCCTGCCCACCACACCTCAGCCACTTGGGCAGCGACCTGGCCCGAGCCCTGCTGGAGTTTGCCCACGGCCGCCCCCTTGGCCCGCGTGGCCTCGACTGGCTCAAGCTGCACCTGGTCAACCTCACAGGGCTCAAGAAGCGCGAATCGCTACAGGCTCGCCTGGCCTTCGCAGACCAGGTGCTGGATGAGGTCCTGGACTCGGCTGACCGGCCCCTGACGGTGGGTACGGTGGGCAGGGCGGGTGGGGGGGGCCGGGACTCCTCCCTGCCTCGTCTCTTTCTGGTTCTTTGTCACCACCTCTGTGTCAGTCTCTTTCTCTTTCCATGTGAGTTTTCTGTGTCTTCTGGCCTGTCCTCAATTGTGGTTTTGGTTACCTTCCCCACGTTCTCCTTTGAGCCCCTCCAGCCACTCAGACTCTAAGCCCCTCCCTATGGCTTCGTTTCCCTTGACCCTGCCCATTGGCTGGGGGTTCTGGTGGCATAGTGCCTGAGGCATTTGACTGCTAACCGAAGGTTGGCGGTTCCAAGTCACCACCGCTTCTCCGAAGGAAGGTTGGGCAGTCTATTTCCATAGAGATAGCACCTCAGAAACCCAAGGAGGGGTTGCTGTGAGTCGGATTCGACTCGATGGCAGTGACTTTGGTTTTCTACCCGTTGCCAGTGCAGAGCAGCGCCGCTTCCTGACAGCCCCTTCTGTCCCTCGTCACACACATAGCTGTTCTTGCTTCCCCCCCCACAATGTCCATCTTGCTTTGCAGTGCTGGAGGGGAGTTCAGCCTCCCTCCTTTTCTTCCCTCTCCTCCCCATGCTTGGGGACCTTGGGGCAGGCCAAGGCCTGACGCTGCTGCTACTGCCTTCAGGGCCGAAAGTGGTGGATGGAGTCGGATGAGCCCTGGCAGACCCTGGCTTGCTGCATGGAGATCGCACAGGCTGTACGCTCCCCCGACCCTGCCGCCTTCGTGTCCCACTTCCCCGTGCACCAGGTGAGTCACTAAGGGCATCTTGGTTTGAGGGTAAGAGGTCTCCCAATCAGGCTGGGGACATGTCCACACCAGGAGGGCTGAGCATCGGGGCTCAGAATCTGCCTGGTCGTGTGTGGTCCCGTGCCCCCCCGCTGCAGGACGGCTCCTGTAATGGCCTACAACACTATGCCGCCCTGGGCCGGGACAGCACGGGTGCAGCTTCTGTCAACCTGACCCCGTCAGACCTGCCTCAGGACGTGTACAGTGGGGTGGCTGCACAGGTGAGTGCCAGCAGCCTGGGCCCTGCAAGACCCTCCAGAGGGGGTGGGGGCAGGGAGGGCCTGCCAGGAGAAGGGTGGGGCATCATGAAAACACGAGGGCCCAGCCAGGAGGCCTTGGGAAGGGAGCAATGGGATGGATGCCCTTGCCAGCTGCCCCCCACGCACAGGTGGAAGCCTTCCGCAGGCGGGACGCCGAGCGGGGTGTGCGAGTGGCCCAGGTGCTGGAGGGGTTCGTGAGCCGCAAGGTGGTGAAGCAGACGGTGATGACTGTGGTGTACGGGGTCACCCGCTATGGCGGGCGCCTGCAGATCGAGAAGCGCCTCCGTGAGCTCCAGGGCTTCCCCCAGGTGGGCGCTTGCTGCGGGCCACAGGGGAGACTACAGCCATCCCGCGCCCTCCGATCTCAGAGCCCGTGGCCTCTGTCACCAGAGGGGCACAGCTCTGGTCTCCCCGTTTGAGTGGTGTGGGGCGCCTGGGTGCCCTGGTGCTGTGGGAGGACGGGTGTGGGGGCCGCGCCCACCAGTGCCCGCTCCTCCCAGGAGTTCGTGTGGGAGGCCTCCCACTACCTGGTGCAGCAAGTCTTCAGCAGCCTTCAGGAGATGTTCTCAGCCACGCGGGCCATCCAGGTGGGCATGCCCCGGGATCCTCGCTCCACCCACCTGTCCCTGCACCTGTGCCCGCACGCTCCATCCACCAGCTGAGAGGAGTGTTCGCTCCCCTGAGCTGCTCCCAGACGTCCTCACGCCGTGTCCCCACAGCACTGGCTGACAGAGAGTGCCCGCCTCATCTCCCACATGGGTTCGGCTGTGGAGTGGGTCACACCTCTGGGCGTCCCTGTTATCCAGCCTTACCACCGGAGCTCCAAGTTAATGGTATGTGGGGAGTGGCCCCTTCTGACCCCCTGCCTGGCCAGGCCCAGGCCGGGACTCACATGTCCCACCCTCATCCCTAGATCAGTGGTGGGATGCAGAGCATGACCTTCAACCACAGCTCCGACAGCAGCCAGTGAGTGGGCGGGGTGGAGGGCGGGGCTCCCAGGGCCCCACGAGCCGGGGTGGGGCGGGGCCTGGGGTGTGCCCGCCTTCTGCCTAACCCCGCCCCTGCAGGCGGCCCAACACGCTGAAGCAGAAGAACGGCTTCCCGCCTAACTTCATCCACTCGCTGGACTCCACCCATATGATGCTTACTGCCCTTCACTGCTACAGGTGGGCGGGGCCCCTCAGCTGCTGCGGCCGGAGAGGGATGGGAGGCACGAAGGGCTCCTGGAAGGGCCTGAGGGCTGACCTGGGGAGAGGGATGGTGCTTTTGCCCTGACTTTGGGCCCTCTGCCTCCATGGGGCAGATGGGCAAGGTGCGAAATGAGAAGGAGCATTCTGGGTGCTTGGACTCAAATTCCTGAGCCCCTCCCCCAGAGGTGGGACGAGTGTTGTGGACAGTTTGAATCCTGTTAAGGGCGTGTTGATGGCGGATGGGCCCCACCCTCTGGCTGAGGACCGAATTCGAGGAGGCTGGTGCTATGGGGCACTGTTAGCCACCTCCAAGGAGGGAGCTGGGGACCGGGCGGGCCCTGGGGTGGGGGTGGATTAGCCACTTTCCCCACCACGTTGGAACATGGACCCTCCATGGCAGGTCAGAGTCCCTCCATGTTTGGCTCAGTGGGCGGGGCTGTCAGCAGGGCGGAGGGGGGAGCTTCAGGGCGGAAAGGCGCTGTGGGTTGCGGGGGGAGGAGGTGGTTCACAGCAGGCGTGTGGTGGGGGCATGGGCATGAACTCCAAGTTGGCCCCTCCTCACCTGGTGTCCTCACTGCAGGAAGGGACTGACCTTTGTCTCTGTCCACGATTGCTACTGGACCCACGCAGCCGATGTCCCAGTCATGAACCAGGTGCCCTTCCCCCCACACCCCAGGGTCAGACCCGCATGCCACTCAGATAACACCCCTGTCCCAAAGCCAGCACGGCGGCAGCACTGGGAGTGGCCGGAGGGTGGCCCTGCACAGCGCGCCGACGCACTGCCCTTGCCTCCCAAGGTGTGCCGAGAGCAGTTCGTGAAGCTCCACAGCCAGCCCATCCTGCGAGACCTGTCCCGCTTCCTGGTGAAGCGCTTCTGCTCCGCCCCCAGGTGAGGTACCTGCCCGAGTACTGCCCGTGCGGCCCGGGACCCCTGCTTTGCCGCCCTGTGCTCACCCCCGCTCTGTGCTGTTAGGTCTCAGAACCTCTCCAAGAACCTGCAGATGCGCAAGCTGTTCCAGACGCTGCTGGCGGTTCCCGAGACAGGTGGGCTGCGGGGAGGACGGGCCCTGGTGGGGGCGGGCGCACGGCGCCCTGAGGCCCCGCCCCACGCAGCTCTCCCCCGCCTCTTCGCAGGGACCTTCGACCTGGAGCAGGTGAAGCGCTCCACCTACTTCTTCAGCTGACGCCGGCCCGCCAGGTCCCTCTCCCTGCCTCCTCTGTACCATAGTGTAAATAAACTTCGGTGGCCCCCCACACGGCGTCGCTTTCGGGGAGGGGCCCTCAGTGGCGCGTAGTCACACCAGGCGGTGCCGATGCAGTTGTTTATTGCGCGGAATGGGGGTGCGGGGTTAATCGGGCGTGGGGGCCGCGGTGGGGCGCTGTGCCTCGGCTCCGGTCAGTACATTCAACGGGGCGGCGGCGGCGGGAGACCCCGGCCTCGCCCCCACACCCGAGTGCAGCCGGATGGCCCCGCCCCGGTGCCTGTGAGGTGCTGGGTGGCCCACTGTGGGAGTCACCGCGGGGCACACCGACACGGCCGGGCGGTTATTGCGTGAGGGTGGTGGGGCAGCGGGAAGCTGGCGGGCAAATATTGCACTTAAAAAAAACCCTCCTCGGACGACGGGCCACCTCTGAGGGCAGGGACGGGCGGGACACCACGGCCATCTCCTCTCGGCCACGGGCCCCGTCCCCGTCTACAGTTGGGGAACTGAGGCACCGAGGTGAAGGGAGCCCCCTCCCACGCACGCGCGGCCGCCGGAGCAGGGGCGATGGGGGTGGGCGCAGGGGAATGAGGGGCCGGCCGGGGACGGCGGGGACTGTCCGGCCCTGCCCGCCCGGCCAACTAGGCTACCTACGTCTATGGCTTGTGGGGCGGGCGGGCCGGGACAGCGCGGAATGGCATGGCTTTGGTCTGATGGACGGGCCCACGGCCCCGACCCGCCTGGCCCCCGCGGAGCTGCGCGGCGCGACAGGGGTCACAAGTTGGACGAAAGGCGCGAGCGCGCGGAGTCCAGCGGGTCAAGGGTGCCAGCAGTGGCGCCAGGCGAGGTCGAGTCCCTGCGGTCCGGGCTGGGCACG